TTACATTACACATCTGATATACTACTGAAAAACTATATGTGAATCTGATTTGGGCAAGCTGAATCATATTTTGAAATGCTATTTAAAGAAATTCCATAGTGAATATCTTTTTGAAAAGGCAAGCATCCTTCTAGAAGAGACAGGGACCACACATACATTTCCTTATTTTTATTTGTTTATTAAGCACTCACCATGTGCAAGGCCCAATGCCAGGCACTCAGGAAACACAAATATACCCATAGCTCCCCTTCTCCTCAAAGAGCTTATCTCACTGCTTCCCTTGAAATGGATTATTTATTTTCATGAAATTGATGAGAATAAGAAAGAATTTACTGTATTTTATCAATTCTAAGGTGCACCTTTTCTCACATTTTAAATTCTCTGAAAGTACGCAATATGTTATTAATTGATGGTGTCCTACTGTTATGGTCCTTCAGGCAGCAGAGGTGACTTAGCGCCATTGCCTGTAGATGCAAGTTGTTCCTATTTGTTGACCCTTCTGTGGAATTATGTCCCATGCTGGAACTACATATGTTGAGTTTTTAATTGCTGCTTAAAATGTGTTCAAAATGATTACACTATGATACAGAATTGAAAAGTGATTATATATGCAGAAAGGAATGGAAACAGCAATTCGTCATGACTTTGTTATCAGTGAACTGTTTCTCACTGGAGGAACACCCTCAATTCTATATTTTCTTGTAAAGCAACAACCATGCATTAAGTGATAAGAAACTAGTGTGTCATACTTTAAATAAAACCAAAAACTAAACCTACTGCCGTCAAGTCAATTCCGACTCATATCAACCCTACAGGACAGAGTAGAACTGCCCCATAGTGTTTCCAAGGAGTGGCTGGTGGATTTCAACTGCCAACCTTTTGGTCAGCAGCCGTAGCTCTTAAGCCATAGCTCCATACTTTAAACGGTAGTGTTTTTTTTCTTTCTTAATGGTATAAAAATGCTGGCGTATCTTATAAAAGATGGCAACTTAGATTCAGTGAAATACAGTGGGTATTGAGCCCCTACTCTGCACCAAGAACTGCACTAAGTGCCTTCCATATGTTAACTCATCAATCCTCACAGCAATGGTATATCTTATTATCCCTGTTTTATATATAACCCCTTGCCTAGGTCCCACAACCAGTGAGTGGTATCTGGACAAGAATCTAGACAAGTACCCATGGGTTTGACAGTTCTTACCACTCTACTCTGCTACTTCCCTAGCTAGCCAATAATGCCAGACAATTAGTCAGAGTTTGTATCACCAGCTCCCACCACCTCCCTGGCCCCCACTCATTCCTCCCCACCCAGTGATGAGAACAAGATGCTTGAGTTAATCCCTCAGGGTAATGACCAAATCAACCGTCTGGCCTTGGAAGAGCTTTACCCTGGCCATAAGTGTCTTCTCTCTGCCTTTCAATTATCACCTTCCAAGAAATATAAATCTAAAATGCAAGCCAGGTCTCTGGATTTTCTGTAACAGCCTAAAGCACACATATTTTTTTATTTTGGCCAAATAATTGTGAAATTCCGTGCTCCCCCCTTCCATCCAACTTGGTCACCCAATTCTGCCATGTATTTCTATTGTCAACCTCATAGCAACAGCCCCAGGAGAAACAAGGATGAGGCAATCACACAAAGTCCCACAGATAGGAGGAGTAGAGACCTAATCTATCCAACTCAGGTTCTGATGACGGTTAGTCCTTGAGAAGGGTATTAACACAACAACTGAGCATCTGTGTTGAAAGACTAGACTACATGTCATGAACTGAAAGTCTAAGGGATCTTTAGCCATATGAAATCATCTCCAGCTGGTGAAGAATGGGTAAAGAAGGAAATATCCAAGAGGAATGGAGAAAGACACCAACTGTAAAAATTTAGCTTTACCCACCCAATGCATTCTACTTAATAGAATCAAATCCATGAAGCAAGTATGTTCTTATTCCAACTTCCACATCACCAATTAAAAAATAAAGGTGGGGGGAGTAGAAAATCCCCCCCAAAATGAAATCTCTTTTCCAAAGTGACACAGTCAGGCAGGCTCTCAGGATTTCAGATTAAAAAAGAATCCAGGTCTCCTAGCATCTAGACATGAGACTAACATTTCAATGACAATAGACCAAGTCACCATATAACATATTGACAAAAAAAAAAAAAGAAAAACACTCAACAAAACAATTGATAGTAACAGAGGTTTCTTTGGAAAAATAAAAATGAACCAATAAAGTAAGTATTTTAGACTTAGGTTTGCTCAAGCACTGCAATTTTCCATAGACATACTTAATTATGTACACAGGTGTGATGGTTAAGATTGTGTGTCAACTTGGCTGGGCCATGATTCTCAGTGTTTTAATGTAATCACTCCCATGACTGAATATACTGTGAGTAGCCAATCAGATGAAAGGGAGTCTCCTTGGAGGTGTGGCCTGCATCTGAATATAAGCAGACGATCTAGCTTTTTGCTCTCTCTGGATTCTGTAGCTGCCTCCTGTCATCTCATCTCTGGTTCTTGGGTCTTGAGGTGTCAGCTTACCTGCCGAACCTGAGATTAGTCAATCTGCACAGCCTGTGAGCAGGAGCCCTGCTCTCCAACCTGCCGATCTTGGGCTTGCCAGCTTCTGTGGCTGTGTGACTTGGGAGAGGCCACTACCCTGATCCACAGACTTGGGACGTTCTAGCCTCTACAATCACGTGAGCTGTTTCCTTGATCTAAATCTCTCTCTCTATATATATATATTTATACACTTTACTGGTTTTGCTTCTCTAGAGAATCCAGCCTAAGACAACAGGATAATTCCTATAAATTTTATGTCAAGATTTTCATGGGCCATCAATATTAAATTAAAAATAAACTCATATATTACATTATGCTCAGCTCTTCAAAAATGAGAGATGGAAAAATAATATTTGTCAATTATATTATTATGGTTTATATTCAACATAAGTCCATGTTTGAAGTTTATCTGATAGGCCAGTGGCTTACAATAAAATTTTTCCACTGATGCAAGGAATGGAGCTAGGTCAGGAGGCTGCTACATAGGCAAGCAGGGGAGTTTCAGTCTGAAATAACAGGGTCCAACCAGTAGGGACATAAAGCATAAAGAAGCAGCAAATATAAAGATGGTGCCAAGATTTCAAATTTGAGAAAAGAAGAGGAATAGTGATGGTGTCTTGGTCATCTACTATAACAGAAATACCACAAGTGGATGGCTTTAACAAAGAAAAGTTTATTCTGTCACAGTCCAGTAGGCTAGAAGTGTGAATTCAGGGCGCTGGCTCCAGAGGAAGGCTTTCTCTCTCTGTTGGCTCTGGAGGAAGGTCCTTGTCATCAGTCTTCCTTGGTCTGGGAGCATCTCAGCACAGGAACCTCAGGATGCGCTCCAAAGAATGTGCTCTGCTCCCAGCACTGCTTTCTTGGTGGTATGAGGTCCCTGTGTCTATCTGCTCGTTTCTGTCTTTTATATTTCAAAAGAGATTAGCTTAAGATACTATCTAATCTTGTAGATCTCATCATACAACTGCCACTAACCCATCTCATTACATCATACTGATAGGATTTATAACACACAGGGAAATCATATCAGATGACAAAATGGTAGACAATCATACAATACTGGGAATCATGACTTAGCCAAGTTGACAGGTATTTTTGGAGGACACAATTCACTCCATGACAGATGGCAATAAAAAGAGATAGGGAACATGGTAAAAAAGGGGCCAAGGGGTGGGGACAAAAAATAAGATGCTCCGTTGAGGCTGTTGAGTCAGACATAAATACATGACACACATGGCGACATGTCCAACAGGAAGCCAGAAAGTACTCAAGTAGACCTCAAGAGAAAAGTCCGGAGTAGAGACAGGTGTGGAAGCCAATACTCCAAGAGAAGACTATTAAAATCATGAGAATACCCCACCACCACCAAATCAAGAGACAGCCTATCATGAGATAAAGAAAAGCTAGCAGAGGCTCCAACCTAGTATTGCTAGGAATTGGAGGGCAGAAGGGACAAGAGTCTATGAAGAAGGCTAAGAAGGAACAGGCCAGAGAGGCAGGAAGCCAGAGTTCTAGCATATATGCTACAGGCAAAACGAAAAGAGCTACCAGAGTCGGAGATCACAGATAGTGCAAGCAGTAAGCAGGAAAAGAGGGCTATTGGATTGGGCAATTCTGTTAGTTTGGGGATAGGGAGGACAGAAACCAATGTGGAAAGAAATTGAAGAGAGAAAGGAAGGGAAGGCAGCTACATTCACCTGCATAAAGTCTGAGGAGATTGGGGAGAAAGACACAGGACTACTTGAGAGATAACAGGGCAAAGAGATGAACCAATATTCATGAAAGATTTTTTCACGTATCATTGTCAAACAGGGTATCACCAAATTAACAAAAAAGGCTTCAGGTAAATCTAACACAAGCATTATGAAAACCTGGATCTAGACAAAAACCATTCTGCCTGTGAAAACTGCCCTCCCCCCCTTTCATACACACACACACACACATTCATTGCTATATGATAATGACTTTTCTAACACAGCTACAAAAAGAGGACCTGTATTTTATTATTAGTGTACTTCTAGGAGTAGATGTCATAAACTATGTGTTTTGAAATACACCTTATAAGTTTCATATGAACATTTTACCTGTGAAATCATCTGTTAGTTTTAGAAATGTCTTGCTACTTTTATATCTTTTGTGGTCTAAATTTGGCACCATCATGGGTCATTAGGAAAAGAATCCATAAAAAATATGATTAAGCCGTAGTTAATTCCAGGGCTATACTGAAAATACTAGCAAAGCATTTACACTGTTTGATACTAAATGATCTTTAAAAGCTCCCAAATATCAAAGATCTTTCACGCATCAATGGTCTTGTCTATCCAAAGTCTTAGTGCATGCTTTATGTTTGTGTAAAAATGCATATCAATTTTAATCATTAAATAACCTACAAGGTTGAAGTTATGAAAAATGGTCATGAAAGCAGCAAATACCTGAGGTACTCACAGCTGTGGAGTAGGGATTATGAGCTCCAGTATTTTCAGCCCAGCAGCCACATCCATAAAGAGCAGCCTGGGAAAAAGAAAACAGATACAATATTTCTGAAATATTTTATGTAATTACCAGCTTTCAACAGAGGACAATATCATACTCAGCTAATAAAACCTGGTTTAGTAATGATGTGGGTCAGCTGGCGATAATACCAAAAGTAGTATAAGATCCACCCAAACAATGGTTCTCACACCATCAAAACTGTATTTGCAACTATTCCACTAATCTGAAATTTTTCGAAAGTTTCTTAATCTCATCAGCAACAATTTTTCCACACTGAAAAATCTTCCTCCCCTTTGTAGTCTGTCAGCCAGTTGCTCTTCTGAGCCTTTGAGATCACTGTGGTTGTCTTAAAACAGTGATTCTCAAACTAGATGTGTGTCAAATTACTTAGAGAGCTTGCTGATGGGAACCCTGATTCTGGAGATTCTGACTCAGTATGTCAGAAATCTGCACTATTAACTGGGGCCCCAGGAGATTGGAATGCAGGGGGCCTTCCTGCCACGCTCTAGGAAACCCTGCTTTTTCCATGCTTTCCTTGGGTTGGCAGGACAAGAAGTGCAGAGAGTTATCTACCAAAGTGCCCAGTTTATGCTCACCACTGTGCTAGATTCCGCCAGATGAAAAAACAGAAGGCAAAAAAGCACGGTTAAACGAATTGTTTTGTTCGGTGGTAGAATGGATTTATATATTTGAGCCATCAGGTACACAACAAGCTACTATGGTTTTATAAAAGAATATGCCAATCATTCCTATTTTGTTTCCAACAATGCCACCAAAGAATGTCAGGATTCAGCTCTTCACTATCCACAATGACTTCTCTGCCTTTGGGAGGGAAATCAAAACTGATAACTTTTCCACTCCTTTGTACAAACAGTTAGAAAATCCCTTAGCTAGCTAACACATTAGAGAAATACAAGGAGGCATACTCAAGAATGCTCATTACCACGTGGTTAGTAAGAACAAAAAATTGGAAACAACCAAAATGTCAACCAGTAAAGCAATGGCTAAATAAACTTTCACATAGCAATACATGGTATTTATTGCAAAAGTTTTAAAAACAATAATAATTAAGCAGATCTTTAGGAACTAATACAAAAGATCTCCATGACATACTGTTGAGTGAAAAAAAGCAAGCTGCACCAAAACATACCGTATTCACTACCATTGATGGAGGAAAAAGATATCTCCATAAAACAGGTCTATTATTCTCTAGGGGCTCTTTTCTGAGGACTTACAGAATGAGCTAAGACTCGAAATGGTGACCAGACATAGTTCAGCTTACTATGATATTCTATTTTATAAAGATCTTAGAATTAATATGCTCCAATATCTTACCAAAACAAGTATCTCAATGAAACATCCCAGGCACTTCCGGTTTGGAGAACCTCACTATCTCATGTGGGAAACTATTCCCCTTTTGGACACTTCCCATTGGTGGAAAATTCTTCCTTAGACTGAGCAAATATCTGCTTTATCATAACTTCCACCCACGCATCATGGTTATACTCTCTGAAGTCCTCCAAATTTTTTTGAAAAGAGCTATTCTAGTCCCCTAATTTCTCTTTTAAGGAGCCCTGGTTGAGCAGTGGTTAAGCACTTGGCTGCTAACCGAAAGGCCGGCGGTTCAAACCCACCAGCCACTCTGTGCAGGAAAGATGTGGCAGTCTGCTTCCCTAAAGGTTACAAGCCTTGGAAACACTATGGGGAAGTTCTACTCTGTCCTACAGGTTGCTGTGAGTCAGAATCGACTTGACGGCAATGGGTTAATTTCTCTCTTAAAGAATTCCAGATTTGTGAACTATTCTCCATGCCAATCCCCTAATTACCTTATTTGAGAAATAATCCAGAGTCCAGAATAATACATAAGCTTAAATTCTTCCATCTGATTGACTGCCAGTAACCGTCTAGGGCTCTGTCTTGTGGAAGTTTCTAAGTTTCCAGGGCCAAGTGAGAAAGAGTGCTTGGGATCAATTGGAAATGAAGTCTCTCATGGTGACCACAACTGCCATTTCCAGTTTTCTCTGACAACATCCCTTTTAAAAGTAGTACCAAGCACTGAACACAACACTCTCATTATGGCAGAGAGTAGAAAATCTATTACTGCCTTTGAAAACACAGTGCTTCTAAAACACATAAGACGACTTGACACTGCTGGGTAATGTGGCAACTGAAAGCTCTACAGAAGTGATTCAACACATGGATTTTACAACTGGCAGACTTGTGAGATAGCCTGTTGATGAGTATTCCCCGAGACAGGTGCTGAGTCAGCCAAAGCCTCAGAGAACACCTCAGCCCAGTGGAAAGGCCTTTTCTTCCTCTATCCAAAGTCCTAGACATTTGCCTATTGTCCTTTCCATTCCCTACAATTAGCTAGGCCAGGAGCCTACACAATACCAAAAAAATAGTACATAGGGCCACCTCTAAGAAATCTAGTGAGATCATCTCTTTCTAGAAAAGTAAGATTTATTCTTACCCTTTGTTTCTTCTCTCTAATCGAATTTCCTTTATAACACCTCCCACCCCTAATTTCACGACCTAAAGTCATCTCCCTTCTTAACCTTTTAAAATTGGTTAGGCTGAGATAGTGATAACCAAAACCAAGCCAAACCCATTGCCTTTGAGTTGATTCTGACTCATAGCAACCCTATAGGACAGAGTAGAACTGCCCCATAGGGTTTCCAAGGAGCAGCTGATAGATTCAAATTGCCGAACTTTTGGTTAGCAGCTGAGCTCTTAAGGTAAAAGAAATAATCAGTGGTTTCTTATTCACTTTTTTGGCAAAACACAGCAAACTTAAGCAGGTCTAAAAAACAAACAAACCAAACCAAACCAAGGTTTCTTCTTTTTGGTAGTAAAATTGTATTAAAAATGTAGCATGCAGTGAAGTCAATCATATAAATGATACTACTTAATTATTATTAATATCATCAAATCTTCTCTGGACCTTAGTTTCTTCTATACAATGAAGATAATAAAACAATCCACCTTACAGCTTTGTCATAGAACCACATGAATCCACATACATGTTGACCACCACGCCTAGCATATAACAAAAATTTAATAAATGGAAGGTTCAGCTGTTATTACTAAAAACTATGATAAGTAATTTAAGTGCATTATTTCATTTAATCTTCTACAACATTGTAAGGTAGCTAGTTACCCTCATTTTACAGTTTTGAGAAGTAGAGCTTAAAGATGTTGAATAACTTGTCATAAGTAAGAGACCTAGTTAAGTGCAGAGTTGGGATTAGAATAAATGTTTACCTGAATCCAAAGCCCACAGTCTTCAACTACTAAACTCAATTGACTATTTGTGTGTGTGTGCGTGTGTGTGTGTGTGTGTATTCTGAGGGCAGGGGGTTGGAATATGATAAGTACTTCCTCATGTCTAAGTTGTAAATTCTAATTATTACTGTAAGTTAAAGAAGCAAACAAATTCTAATTCAAACTGACATTACAACATTTGAACTGTTATCACATAGCTAGAATAGGGTAATATGCTAAAAATTATAAACAGCTCATTTGTTCATTAAATACATATTTAAAAGTACTAGTTTTAGCACATCTAAAAAAAAAAAATGAGTGTTAGCTACAGCTTGCTTTTGTATTTGTTCCACTCTGCAACTGAGTTCTCCTGCATCAGCCTAAATACAACAGCATCCTAACTGTCAAGAACAGCTCCCATCTGATGATTACATATTTCCAGACTTCTTACAGCTCTTCTGTCTAAGCAATATAGCCACGTTAAGCAACCATATTTTCCTTTAAGCACCATTACTTTTCTCCTCCACATCCCTTCCTAATTTTTCACCTCTCACAAGCTGTGTGTTCATAAACTAGCCAAGTGGGGCAAATCAACATCTAAGTTTTACCAAAAAAAGTAGAGCTTTTTCCAGGACAACCCCATGTGCAGTAGCAGAATGGCTTTAAGACTGTTACATGTAATATCCTGCTAACATGTAATATCCTGCTAACATAGTCCAGGACCGTCCTTGCCCCTGTTGTCGCTATTATGTTAACCAAAACAAACAGAAACCACTGAGAAAGTACTGGGAATTACAATGTAACGAATGCGGCTCTGCTGGCTTCTCGCTCCTTCTCCACCAGGACATCCAAATCTGATACACCAAGCTTGATTTTCTTTTCCAAACTTGACAAATACACAGTGTTTTTATAATGTAGAAAAGCACCATGACCAGACAAAGGCTTTTTATAATGAGTTCAAAGCATTGTACACATGTTGAGTAATCATTCTCCATAAATCCCCTTGGTACGGTAGGCAAAGAGTAGCACAAAAGTCATTATTCTCTCCCCGCTCCATCCAGTACAGGACTGCAAGTGGCTTATCCACAATAAAGAGCAGATCAGGGACCATCACTTAGGCTTTGCAAAGATGTCCTCCATGTATCAGATCACTCTGCTCCAAGCATTTGCTAACCACCATGACCAAACCAACTGAGACACTGACTCTTCTTCAAATGTGAGGAACAAAGCAAACATAGCATGCCAAGCAGTCCCTCATATGTAACCCAAGACCCAAAGACCGAGTAGAAACACACCCCTTGCAATTGCTTTAGCAGACTCCATAAGAATGTCCAATTCATTTGCTCATTCAACAAAAGCACCTAGTAAGTAATGTGCCAAATTGGTTTATACTCAGAAAGCTCACAAAAGCAAACAGATTGTTAGCTTTTATTCTCAATATACAACTAAAGGCTATAGATTGGGGAGGAGGTTGATGAGAATATATACAAGAGAACTGGGAATAAACAAGTTTCACAGAAATCAGATCCTTCTTATTTCTAGAATTCATGAGTAGGATCATGTGTCAGTGACCTGAAATACTGGTTAGTCTATAAAATGTCTGAAATGCTTGACCAGGGGAGGAATGTAGAGAGTCAACACGTTACTGTTCTTTGAGGAGGATATAAAACATGTAACTCTAAAATCATTTTCCCACCGAAAGAGCAACAATATAGTCAGATACTGCTTGCTCCTAAAGAGTGACATTTATAACTAAAGAAACTGGAAATCAACCAATATTTGTTAAATGTCCACTAAATACCTAGGTCAGCGCTCAGCCTGTTGAAAGTGGTAAAACATAGGATTGTTCTTGTTATGTGGCATCGAGTCTGCTCCAACTCATAGCGACCTAATGCACAACGAAACGAAACACTGCCCAGTCCTGTGGAATCCTCACAATGGTTGCTATGTTAGGGTCCACTGTTGCAGCCACTGTGTCAATCCGTCTCATTGAGGGTCTCCCTCTTTTTCACTGACCCTCTACTTTATCAAGCATGATGTTGTTCTTAAGCAACTGGTCCTTGCTGACGACATGTCCAAAGTAAGCGAGACAAGTCTCGCCATCCTTGCTTCTAAGAAGCAGCATTCTAGCTTATTACCTATTGTAAATATCACAGTCTTGAAAAGGTATCTGGTTGATGATTTATATTAAATAAATGTTAAACACCAATGATAAAATTTATTTTTTTCTAAAGAAAAGAAAATGTCTCTACTGGTTAAAAAGAATTGTGAGCTAAAAAATTCCACACATTAACTTGAAAAGCTGGTTTAAAAAACCCATAATTAATTACCTGCCCCACTCTCCCTGGATGTTTCAAGGCCAAGCCTCCACTGGAGACAGCAGCAGCAACGTTACCTTCTTGATCCACAACCACCGCACCCACTGTGTCCAAAGTGCCTGAGTCATTTTCCTGTGAAGCAAAAGTGGCATGAGTATTTGCAAAGCATGGTGTGTGACAACCTGATATGACAACACAGCATTTCTCAGAACAATCATGACATAACATAAAATCAGAGCTAATCCTTAAGTAGAACATTGAGCAATCTCCTAAAATTATCTATTACCAAGTTGCCATTTAAATCCTGTTCAAGTCAAAATGTATTTTCTACTGAAAAATCCTGAACAAAGGGTGTCTTCTTGCTCGTCTCTCATAATAAGACTAACATGGTTTTTAATGGAAAACAATTAGTAATTTAATATCAATATAGTATATAACAGTGCCTCTTTAATCTCAAGAATTAAATTCCTGATTGAAAATTTGTAGAGGAAAAGTATAAGTAATAAATGTGATTTTTAGTATTTTTTAAATATTCTATACAAACTGCTAAAAGTAACTCATTCAGTACAATAAATGAAGATAACGGCATTTACAGTCCTGAAGTACGCTACTATCATTTTCTCTGACAATCACTTGCTTGTGAGAAATTTTATAGCAAGCTCCCTTCTCTGCTGTATCAATAACATACTTGCCAATTGTGTCACAGAAAACTGTATGCTCCTGGGAGGCATCTTTGTGTTTCTATGTCCTGTCCCAGGTCCCACATGTTTAAGGCGTTTTACATTTAGTGACTACAAGCAGCTGTCTCCTGTCTCTGAGGCTTCTGGGTCCCACTCAGAATGGGGGAAAATTTGCAATAAAGATCGTACTGACATATTTTAGAAAATACGAATTATAGATGGCAATATTTTATCAACATTAACTTTCCTATTTTGATAACTATATTGTGGTCATAAAAGAGAATGTCCTTGTTCTTAAGAAATCTATACTAAAGTATTTAGAGGTAAAAGGGTCTCATGCCGGTAACTTACTCTTAAAAGGTTGAGGAAAATAATATGTATATATATACCTAGGAGTGGAATTTCTAGGCCATATAAGTAGCTCTATTTTTAGTTTTTATGAGGAACCGCCACACTTTTCCACAACGGCTATACCGTTTTGCATTCCCACTACCAATGGATAAGGGTTCCATTTTTCCCACGTCCTTGTCAACATTTGTTATTTTGTTTTCTTGGTTTTTTTTTTTTTTTTTTAATTTTAGCCATCCTTAAAAAAATAAAAAATAAAAAAGCCAAACCATTGCCCTCAAGTCAATGCCAACTCATAGCAACCCTACAGGACAGAGCAGAACTGCCCCATAGGGTTTCCAAGGCTGAGATCTTTATGGAAGCACATTGCCACCTCTTTCTCCCATGGAGTGGCTGATGGGTTCAAACAGTGGACCTTTCCGTTAGGAGGCCAGCACTAACCACTGAGAAACCAGGGCTCCTTTACCATCCTAGTAGGAGTGAAATAGTATCTCACTGTGGTTTTGATTTGTAACTCTCTGATGGCTAGCGATGCTGCACATCTTTTCGTGTGTTTGGTGGTCACTTGAATGTTGTACACCAATGTTCATTGCAGCACTAAATGCCCATCAACAGAAGAATGGATAAACAAAATGTGATACATTCATACAACGGTATACTATTCAGCCAGTAGGAGAAATGAAGTCTTGATACATGCTACGGTATGGATGGAGCTTCAAGACATTCTGCTGAGTGAAATAAATCAATCACAAAAGGAGAAATACTATATGACCTCACTTATATAAAAAGAAAATAACAGGCAAATGTATAGGGACCAAAGTTAACTAGTGCTTACCAGGGGAGAGGAGAAGTGGGGGTTATTGCTTATGGAGTACTGAGTTTTGGCATACGGCAATGGAAAAATCATATTGATTAAGGGTTGAGTTGCACAGTTAATTAATGGAATTGCTGTCAATAAGTTGTACACCTGTAAAAAGTTGAATTGGCAAAAGTTGTGTGATCGTCACACATTAATGACAAAAATAAAGTGTAGCTGCTGAGGCTGCTTATGTATAGCCAAACACCTCATGGGATTTGGTTCCTTGGTTTGGAGGTTTAGGGTCATGGTTTCATGGGACAGCCCAGTTAATTGGCCTAATATCATGTTTACTGCTTCTGTTCTACCTCCTAGTTGTTTCATAGTGCCTGAGATCTTAAAAGCTTGCAAGTGGCCATCTAAGACACAATAATTGGTCTCTATTCACCTGGAGCAACAGAGGAAGGAAGAGAGTCAGGAATAGAAGAAGGAAATGGAATGTGGCTAACGAACAAATGCTTCCTCTGCCATGAGACTAGAAGAACTGGATGGTGCCTGCCTACCATTACTGAACATTTTGGTTAAAGATCCTATAGAAGAATTCTGATCAAAAGGGGAAATTACAGAACAGAATTTCAGCTTCTCATGGACTCTAGACTTTCTAGAGCCATGGAGGATGGGTGAACCCCTGAAACTATTGCTCTGAGATAATCTTTAAACCTTAAACCAAAAATATCCTCTGAAGTCTTCTTAAAACCAAATAATAGTTCAGCATAACTAGTAAAGAATGTCTACTTTGAGCATTACGCTCTTTTAAGAACTATCTATATGGGATCAAACTGACAACAGCAATTCAAAAGGTTAGACAGGAACCTTAGCAAGCAGCGAGTTTGTTAATGGAGGAGGATTAACTCAGAAAAGGAGGGTAAGAATGGTTGTACAACTCAAAGAATGTAATCAATGTCACTAATTGTACATGTAGACACTTGATTAGCGTATGTGTTTGCTTTGTATATTCTCAATAACAACAAAAATGAAATAAATTATTGAAAAATAATACTAACATATATATCTACAGAGAGAGAGAGAAAAACAAGAATAAAGCAAATGTGGCAAAATATTACAAACTGAGATATATCTACAGAGAGAGAGAGAGAAAAACAAGAATAAAGCAAATGTGGCAAAATATTACAAACTGAGAATCAGGGTGAGGGCGTATGAGAGTTCTTAGTGTTCTTGCACATCTCCTTTAAGACTGAAATTATCTAAGGAAAGCATTAAAGTAAATGGAGAATGTTTCCTTTAGCCTGTGGAAGGAGAGGAAAGGAAAAGACTCCTTTCCTCAGTGGAACAGGATCACCTCGGGGTCGATTACCAACTGAGGAATCGAGACAGCTCCCTCATATGTTAGCCTACACTCTCCTGTGCTGACCCGTGCAGGACACACAGGCTTTACACTGCCGGATAAAAATCAGAATTAGAGGAGGAAGGAGAAAAGCTTCATGAAAATAAACAAATATATATTTCTTACAGAATAAAAAAGAAGGGTTACTGCAGGTCTTCGTGTTAACAACAGTCGTGGTAGTGTTCTCATCCTAGGGCACTAGTTTTCCAGCTGAGTTCCAGAACCCCAAACACCCATCCTTACCCCCTAAGCATGCATCACAGAGAGAGCCTGGCACAGCCCCAGGTTCAAGAGCAGCTCCACCTCCCGTGTGGTTCACTGCTCATACTGCTCAGCAAGACTTTGTTTATCTTCAGGGAGCCCTGGCTAAGAACTTTTTAAAATGCCAGACTAAGCAATCACCAAAAAAAGTCAATGAGCTCCTGGGGCCACTTCAGAAGGTATATGTAAATATTAAAAGCAGAAGCAAACAAAAGATTTTTCTTTAAAGCAAATTTAAAAATTCAGAGGTAGAGTAGGCCACAAAAAAATTTACATGAAGTCTATTAGGAGAAGGTACTTACATCTAATCATCTACATTTCTATGGTTCTTGCTCTAAATTCTATGTTGCTCACCATGAACATGCTACAAATTAAAGAACTGGTCTTATACTGTTTGTTTTCAGAAACAGACAACTATCAAACAAAAAAACCTAAAACCCATTGCCACAGAGTCAATTCTGTCTCATAGCAATCCTATAGGACACAGCAGAACTGTCTCATAGGTCTTCCAAGGCTGTAAATCTTTACGGAAGCTGACAGCTGTATCTTTCTCCCGTGACTCAAACAAATAGACACTTAACAACAACAGAACTCAAGAGAAGGTATTCTTCATTGGTTCTTTCTTTATTAATTGCAATTGCTGATCCTACCCAAGCACTCTATAAAATAGAATTTTACTGAGAGAATATATAATATATATGCAGTGATATATATTGTTTGTAAATCAATTCTCTTAGCATTTCAATCAGGACATTGTGAAAGATGAGAAATCCTATGCCTAACTGCACTACTGTAGAGACACAAAAACCGATGTCAGGATTACACATAGATGGATTTACTGTAACTTGGTTTTCAAAAATGAAAAATCAAGTAAAACATGGAGAATCCTGTTCCAAATTAAGCTAAATATTCCTACGGGCCTGCAACACCTGTAAAAATCAGAATTACTTCATAAATACTCAAGAATTAGTTCACAGACTTCACATACTGAAAAGCAAATTTAAGGATGATGAAGTAATTTTTAAGCATTTTTATGAAGTGCAGATAAACTAGGTGAAAGACAAACATTGGTATTTCAGCCATAATAATCTTCATAGAGTTCATTTGTGCAGGAATGAAATCTTAGGTTAAAAAACACACAATGACTGTTACTGTATCGAGCTACTATTACACTCTTACACTCCATAAATATTTTTTGAAAAATACACACACCACACAGATACACATGCACCTATTGTCCTTGAGTGAAACATGCTTTTCACATTACTTTTTTGATAAAACTGTGACTAAAACACAACCATATAAACTACAGTTCCCTTCAGAATAAACATGGGTGTACAGCTGGCATAGATATTGTCTTATGGAAAACACTGAAATAAAACTTTCTGAAGTAACCAATAAACTAGTAATCACTCTCTAAATTCCAGGATCTTGGGATTAATGTAAAATTTTTCATTTTTATCTGCTGCAAAATAGAGATGGATGTTACTCAGTTATTCTAAAAATTAAATTAAGTAATGTGTAAATGACTTAAAAAGCAATAAATTCCTTAAAACAAAGGTGCTTTCCATCAGAAAAATAAGCCTCTAACCAGCACTCTAACTCTGAAATCTGCCAAGAGATGCTATTTATCAGTTATATA